ACGAAGATGAATGGCCGCATGACTTAACACAACCGAGGTTGTTGGGTTAATTCCTCTGCCTTGCTATGATGACTACACTTCACACCAACAAGTTTCCTAGCCGATACTGCTCACAGGCATCCTCAAAATGCACTTTCTTAATATGCATCACATGCGCTTGTCTGCAACACAAGCACTCCAGTATCATGGAGCCACGTACCGCAGCATGCTGATAACGTGCTGATGGCGCTATTCCAGGAGCTACTGCCCACTCCCACCGCCCGTCTCGATGTTTTGCAAGCCCGTAAGCAGTATCCAAGGGCTGCACTCACGAATTCCACACTTCACTCAAAAAATACAGCCCACTTACATCTATGCCTCAACTGCCGCAGGAACAAATTTATGTCACAAGCGTTAAACACATCGCAGCATACCACGCTGTTTGCGTCCCTCCCACCACAAAGAAGAAGCAGACCATCTGATCGCGCACATGCAGTCGCATACCTGCAACCATCAAATGCTTCACTATCAACACAACCTCTAACCATTCTCTTGCTCAAGACGAACAGCCCCACCACGTGTAAATCACAGCACCATTACAAACGGTACTAATACACAGGAAGCCGAGCTTTCCAGGAAAATCAAAACCCTCCATTTTTCGCGCGCAAAGACAGATGTACAACATAGATAAGCCTAGGCTCACTGTGGCCTTACTGATACAATTATTCCTACATTTACATTGCAAACATTCCACACGGATGAGGGGCATTCAGGACGACAAAGACATCTCCAGAGAGTCGATGGTTACATGCATGGAGGAGGGCCCTCTCCCTCTGGATCAAGCTTCCTCCACTCGTACGGCTTAGCTGCTGTATCCAAAGCCCACACGTCTGCTAGGGGTCGCTTGCCTGTGTCCAACCCTTGATCAGTAAGCGAGTATATTCGAAGGTACAAAGCCACAACACAACATGACGTGAAGACAACCATACAGAGATCACGTATTACTCTGTTGCAAGTAACACAAGGAAAACCACGGCACTTCGCACCGCGAGAAAACTAATACTTGGTTACACGATAATTGACACAAAATTTCCCACAAACGTCACAACTGTCCCTCCTGTCCAAGCACCAGCTCACCGTCGTTCCCACTAATAGATAAAAGAAACCGCTGCCCCACCAACGACATCACATGCCCATACCGAGGCCCTGGCCCCGCTCCTTGGACCACCACCCTGTGCCACCGGGGCTTCGCCTGAGTTAGATCCAGTACGTGAAGGTCGTCTGTTGACAATCCTGCCGGTCCGATTCCTCCCTGCTCACAAGAGCATAGATACATCCAACCACAACCTTTCACTCAGCAAAAGTATCATCAACCATGGTCTTCCAAAACGTGGAACACTTTGCGATAGAAGCATCGCGTGCCAATATTGAAACTGAAATTTCTGATAAATTACGCCTCATTATAATGTTTCCTTTCAAAAACTAGACATGAAACTTTTGAAACCAAACCGACGTGCTCCGCAGACACCAGAAGTACATCACGAGAAGGATCATCAGGACTAAATAAGCGAAATGCAGAAGCCATTGGCAACTCTATCATTACCACTGGAAAGCCATAAAACGCGGTCGCATACCTGGATAACAACCATGGTTCCCACCGCTGTGGCTGCATGCGCTGCTCGCGGAGAAGGTGGGTCCCCAACAGGAATGAGTCTGCACGACACAGCACAGCCCTACTTTCATTACAAAGTAAAAGGAAGCAGGATATCACTACACATCTACAAACAATGACCCAAAATACAACACGCGTGCCCACCACCTGCCAATACTATTGTTACTTCTCTCTCCATGGCCCTTGGGGATCTCGATAGCCCGACAATCGAGACAAAACTAGCGCCGTAAGAGAAAAAAACAAGAGCTCTGACAGCAACACATGTAAAACTGAGCAACATAATCTTCCTCTCACAAACTTGGGTCACTCACCTTGACCATTTTCTGCTAGTCACGTCATAACAGTGCACGTCTGCGGTTGCACCCGCCAACCCTGTCACAAAATTAACCACACATCTCAGAAAACTCCTCTCACCGCTCATCCAACATCACGCTCGGACCAGTTGAGATCAAGACGACACATGAATCTGACGAGGAGCCTAACTTCCATTCCACCACCGACACTTCAAATGGGCTTTTCATTGCATGCATTCCACCATCGATAACTGTACCAGCCCATCCTAGCAGGAACGCACGATCACCTCCACAACCTTTGAGGTTGCAGGTCTCACTATCACTCTCATCATACTGCATCCATGTATATCCTGTAAACACTGCTGTCAATCTCTAGCAGAGGCGTAAAACCCCCCTCCTGCAGCGACCTCCAGTAACACCTCTCGTCACGAACCCTAGCAGAAGTCCAACGCATTTGAATCTCTGAGATCCATCACCCACAGCCAAGGAGCCCACATAGCTCACAGTTGCCCATCCTCCGATCTATCTATCCAGGATTGCGAACGACATCTCCCAACAGTCTTGCTAACTCCAGAGGACACTGACCTTCGGAACTAAACTACCATCTGCAGGGATTTGCAAAGATGCTCACGGTACAGGATATGCCGGACTTATGCGGTTCTGGTAATTCAGTATTACCATCAGCACCTGAATCTTCTCCGTACCCACCGTTTCTTAGGGTATGAGGTTTAAGCCCTAGCGCTGACAAGCTTCTATGAGTGATTGCTATGGGATACGAATTCAAATACAGAACTAAAACTTCACCGCGGAATAGAGCTGCGAGGGTCGAACGGATCATAGGGCGTGAATCAACACCAAGTGCTTCTTGAAACGCTCAATCTCCTATCCCGCTCAAAACTCCGCTTCAACCTCTACAAGTCCAACACATTCCAAGTCCCTTGACTAAAATAGTGCCAAAACCTAAACAGATCTGCACACGCAGCACCATCGTAGCCTATTCAAAACGATCGACCATTGAAATTAACCGCCAAAGCCCTCCATTACAGCAGTAATCCAGCCTTCCAATCGTCACGCCTTCAAAATCCTCAAAGTCCACTCATGAAGGGAAACCGGGTTGGCGAATCCGTCCAATGAGCTACAGGTTCTTCTCATACCGGCTCCGCCATTGTACTCAAAACAGTAATCATAAAACACGGCCCCTCCTCTAGAACTTTAGGCTTCCTCGAAACGCTCACCTTCGTATTCACCCCTAAAATATCACACTCTTAGCCCTAGAAAAATCTTCGCAACCAGCCAGCTGCCGCTCAACACGAGCTGTGAGCTGCTCTTGTTCCTCAGACACTCAACATCCGGGATTCTCAGCGCTCCCTTCCGCGATGCAAATCTGTGCGCCTACGCTTTTCGGCTAAGGGGAGAGAAATTTCAATGCCCAACGCTAATTCGACAACTCGATACAACAACCGAACCCCGTCCATGAGGCTCTAAAACAATCGAAAATGAGAGAGGGAGGCAAAACAGAGCTCGAAATCTTACGAATGCCGGCACCAGCAGCAGCAGTCTGAGGTCCGCCCGCGGCGGACGAATTCCCCTCCAACGCAGTCGCGCCCCCGAACAAAATCAATCTCGGACCGACGTATCCCGGCGTCCCTTCCTCCCCAACCGCTGCCACGGCCGTCAACGTGTGCCCGCAACGCGGCCCCGGTCCATCCTCCTTCTTCTCGATCACGGCGCTCACCATTCGGAACGCTGGCGCGGGTCGCGGCAACGTGGCCATCGCCACCTGCTGCCGCCCCGCCACTGCTTGCGCAGCAGATGGGGAAGACGATGGCATCTCCTCTATGTTCTCTCCTCCTACCGCCTCCCCGTTGGCGCTCCCGTTGGCGCTGCTGCTGCTGCTCTTCCCGTTGGCCTCGCTCTTGGACACCGCCGCATCTCGTCCCATTCCCGCCCCGGCTTCCATATCCCTATCTAAACCTCCGAGCCTCAATTCCTGCGACGACCATTCCGCCGCTCCGCTTCCATCGACTCAACCGCGATCCTCCGTCGAGACTCCGGCGCGGGCGCCTTTCGCCACACTCCACCGCGCGACGCAAAGCGGCGAGGATCGGAAGCAGAGTGAGGTGGACAAGGAAGGAAGGGGGAAAGCGGAGCGGCAGCGATCGAGGCGAGCCTCGTCGTGTGGTGTGGTGTGTTGGTACTGTGGTGTCGCTGGTATGCCTCCCTCCCTCGCAAGGCCTCGCTCGCAAACGGGGGCTTCGCTCCCATTCTCTTCCCTTCCCCGACTCCCCCTCTGCTCGACGCCTTTGCTCCACTGGACCACCCCCCTGGCCCCCTGCCCCCTTTCGCATCGCGGGCCCGGATCTTCTGCCCCCCGGCCCTGGCGCCGGCCCCGGCTTTTGAGTCATTTAGGGGAGGTTGTTTTCATGTGCCCTGATTAGTTTTGGTTAATTGATTTCATGCGTTGTTGAAATATTGTAGTTTTTTGTTGTGTGTTTTTTGTGCGTCACGTTGTATTGGTCTGGTTTTTTGCCGTTCTGAAATCCTGCCTGTGCTTTCCTCTTTGGAATATGATATATATCGTGCTTATCATTCTTCTGTTTTAAGTTTGTTTTTGTATCAGTTTTTTTTCTTTTTTTTAAAAGTTGGGTTTCGTTTTTTATGCTGTTCATATTTCTGTCGGGATAATTTTCTCTTAGGAGATACTTGTTGTAGAGCTAGTTTTTCTGTCGGTTGTAACATTGTTGCTCTGCTACAATGTCTTGTTTGAAAAACTGTTGGTGCGATTAGTTGGTTACCATATTTTCGATGTAGTTTAGGAGGTTTGACAGGGATTTTTTTGCATTATTGATTGGGTTTCGTGGTTTACTTATATTTTGGTTGTTTTGGAAGCGTTATTTAGGGGATTTGTGATGTAATTTAAGATATGTTTACGTGATTTCATTTGTGTATATGCTGGGAAATTGTACATTTTTTATTTCGTGTTTATTTTTGTTGCATCATTGTGTAAACATATCTTACGTGTTGAATGGTATTGTTTGGTTTGTTTCTGCTTGTGGAGCAGTTTGTGTGTTCTACGTTTTCTAGCTTGGGATGGGTGCAATGGTACTTAAGGTTCGGCAGTCTAGGGTGTTGGATTGGAGAGTTAAGTTTTTGTAAAACTTACTGAGAAGTGTGCTTTCAATTGAACATTGAAGAGTAATAGAGGATCGTCGACGTACCTGTTGTCGTTCTGCTTACGTTTCATTGTGCTTTCGTGTGCGTGATTGCTGCATGCAACGAAGGCTTTAATTGTGATTGATTGGGAGGTCTACAGTATTAACGGTGATTGACCCCAGCATGATACGTGGTGTAAACGTTAAATACTTTTTGCAACTGATTGTTTTTAGATCAGCTGCGATGGACTAGCTGTATAGAGTATGAGAGATTTGGTTAGACTTCAACGAATATCTTTAAATACATACAGCGTATGAATATCCAAGGCGTCAAATCAACATTGAGGCGACAATGATGTGCTCTAAGTATGACGGTTTCCAGCGACTACTTATGGAATCATGTTGATTGCAATTAGTGTTTGAAGAAAATTGTGATCTCTGAAGTTATCATTATCCAAAGCTTGATGAAAAAAATCCTTGACATCCAGTCATCTTCTGAAGAAGCTCCAACTATAAGTACATAGTTTTACTACGAAAATCAGTTCCATTTATCGGCTCAGTAAATGATATAAAGACCAACGGTCCCGCTCAAGTCCAATCCTGTTCGCCATAATTACTCTTCAAATAATCTGGCTCTTGAACTAGATGTGCAGCATCCATGACTTCTAAGTACGACCCTGCACTGTAGGGTATTTCCACGCCTAATCCAAACTAGCTCTCCCTTTTCCCTTGGGCATTTTGTGAGCACCAGCTGCACAGAGGAAGATATGCGTCGACCCAGGTTTATGTAATATCTTAAAATCACAAGGTTAGAGTAAGGATGATACGTATCAACCAATATGCAAAGCCTGCTGCAACCACTGAAGCGAAGCAATAACCATAGCGAAAGTGAGTTAAACTTAAATTAGGGCGTTCTAGCTTTAATCCATTCCGTTATTACATCCGTAAAAGGACTCTACACATGAACGGGCTCTTACACGACTGACCCAATCAAGAGAATATATCCGTGGGTTAGGTTTGCCAAGGCATGAACGAGATCGAATGAATTACAAAATGAGGGGGAAAGAGATTACTTACAGTCTTCTACATCTTTGAGCTTGTAGTAGTGAGGCGCAATCTCCACTAACCAATCTGGCTTGATTTCAATTACCTTCCATAAAAGCCACGTATCCATGTTACTGTCTAATTTGTAATATTCAATGTTTTCAAGGAAAGAAAAGCAGTAACTCCTTAGGGTACATACAGACGCCAGAGCTAATATCTCGATGGGTGAAAATGCACGAAAGGAAAATATCAGATTGAAAAAAGGGAAACCTGTCGCATATACTCCTTCGTTGTCATAACAAGCTCATGGTACACAACCCACCTTGGTAAAACCTAGTTCAAGCGAGGCTGTGTCAGTTTTGCATGATCCTGGTGTTCAATCCGTAATTGTATATGAAAAGAACCTAAAAACAAGGACAGTTCCAGGAAGTGCTACAAATGAATATTATAAAACTTTAAGATGTATCGTACCTGAGAAAGACCAGAACTTGGGTGTATGCTCACTGTTTGGGGGTTCTTTACTGTACGATAAGTGCCGTTCTTTTGAAGTTTTGCTGTGTGATAGAAAAAGCCTGCGAAAATCGGCATACATTATCAGCCTCGCTGGCTTGACAGCAATATAGACGCAATCACATATAACTGGTACACTCGACGCACAAGTAGACGCAAATAAAACTTACACAAGAACAATTTAGCAGTTGGAACTGGCACATGTTCCAAGGTCCTACCAGATGTAATGGCCTTCCTTATGTTATCAAGTTCATTAGGATTGGAACTCGACTCAATTTCCACCCTCTCCAGAAGACCTTCCAATTGATCTCTAATGTCGCGTGCTCGCTTCATGCTTCGTACCTACATTCCACACAACGTTAGACAACAGATTTTACTTTCACACTCGCGCGCAGGCTTTAAGATTGATACTATCATCACGATATTGATGCTAGCTCATCCTTTTACAAAATGTCCACAACTTCAAGCTTCGATGAGCCCGCTAATTACCATCACAATACCCATCGCAAAAACAAGCAAGCAGCGGTGTAACACCTTAACTTTAAGCATGAAGTATACCTGGATGTAATTTTCGTAGCACCATTGTGTTGAGTAATTCGTTTCCTTCCAAGAATCATAAACCTGAAAGAAGAGAAATAATATAAAAATAAATAAATAAATAAAGGTTTTTCCTTTTTAATTTAATTCTAAAACACAAATATAAAGATGCAATTTGAATATGAACTAGTTGATTGAGTCTAAATCATAACAATGTTGCGTTTAATAGCAAAGGATGTTCCCTCCATTCCAGGGTAGCGAATTTTCTGTGCATGTTCATAAAACTACATACCTTTAAAAGGGCAATGTGATCTCCAACATTCCCTGCATGGAAGTTCATGCGTGCATTATCAGCATGCACTTGCTTGTCTTTAGGGCGATAGAAAATGGAGTTTCCGATAGACAACATCGCACAGATGGTGACGACCTCCTCAGAGCATTTATAGTTATCGGAGGCAACCAACATCTTGGAAAGCATTGGGTCCATCGGGAATTCTGCCATTCGCCTTCCCATCTTCGTCAGCTCTCCACGATCATTCAATGCACCTAATGCATATAGTTGCTCTAAAGCCCTCAAAAGAGTCTCAGCAGGAGGAGGATCCATAAAGTCAAAGTTGATGAGATCATTGATGCCTAAACTTTTCAGTAAGAGAACCACATTGCCAAGGTTCGTCCTCTGAATTTCAGGAATCGTATTTTCATCCATTTCGTTTTGAAACGACCATGCAGTGTACAGACGAAAGCACTTCCCAGCAGAGGTACGTCCAGCTCGACCGGCTCGTTGTTGGGCGGCCGCCTGAGATATTGGAGTAACAATCAATGACTCCATACCGGTCCGAGGACTGTAGCTTTTCTGTTTAACAAAACCAGGGTCAATCACGTACTTGATTCCATCAATAGTTAGAGATGTCTCTGCGATGTTTGTAGCCAACACAACCTTCCGCGCCCCCTCAGGCGTTTCTTCAAAAATCTTAGCTTGCATGTCAGGTGGAAGATTAGCATAGATAGGACATATGATCAGTTCAGCTATTTTGGAGCCAAGCCCTCGAGTTCGGTGTTTCAAAATCTCCTCTGCTGATTCAATTTCCTCTTGACCAGTAAGGAATACTAGAACATCCCCTGGTGGTTGTGTCACATGAATCTGCAGAACTGTCACTATAGCTGCCTCTAAATAATCAGCTTCTGGAGCTTTGGTATACAAAATATCTACTGGGAACCGTCGCCCTGGTATACGGAAAATGGGAGCTCCGTCAAAATAATCAGAAAACTTTTGTGCATCAAGGGTAGCACTCGATATTAGGAGCTTTATGTCTGGCCGAAACCTCGTAATATCCTGTTCAGATCAGAAGTCATTCCGTCAGGGCTGGCTTAAAGCACTCCAAATATTACGAAATTTTACAAGTGCAATGCCAGGGCCACTTGTATGGCCAAGTAATGAGCATGTAGATGGGAATGTGATGCGCCGAGCTCACCTTAACTAGACCAAATAGAATATCAGTTGACAACGTTCGTTCGTGTGCCTCATCGACCATCATAACGCTGTCACAACGCAGAACACACACATTCTACTAAATCCTAATTCCATTTTGCAGTGATTTAAATAGACCAACTAAAAGCAAATCTAGGGCAGAGACAACACAATAACAAAAGAGAATAAACAAGAACATCTGCAATTTCAACCAACCTGTAGCTGGCGAGATCCGGTTCACCCAAAAACTCCCGAAGAAGCATCCCGTCCGTCATATACTTCAATATCGTAGTATCAGACGTGCAATCCTCAAAACGAATCGAATATCCAACCTGGAATTTCCCACTCATGTAAATGACATTCACCATAACATAAACTCCACCGCCATGCACCCCTGGACGTCCCCATGTACTCTTGCAAAGGGCCAACTCGGATGGTTGATGACTTTTAAAAATGATGTTGTAGAAGGTAAGTACTGAGAATTCATCAAGAGACACGATTGCCTCATTACATTACAGCTCTTCTAATGGAGCTCCATTTCATTGCAATTCAAGATCTTAAGATAACTAACCTCATGACCAAGTTTGACATCCATCTCTTGAGCGACTCGTGCAGAAACACTCATAGCTGCCACCCTCCGAGGTTGCGTGCAACCAATCTGTTACAGCATCACAATCAATATAAGAAAAATAATTTACAACACTGGTGGTTCAGATTTATCATCAAAATGCCACATCGGTGAACTCACTGTTGAAAGGAGACAAAGACCAATGCATGTAAGATCACCAACTCCACATGTAATCATATTCGAAGTTTCATTTACCTTGCCCTGCTTGCTGTATCCAGCTTCATGGAGATATTGCGGAATTTGAGTGGTCTTTCCAGACCCCGTCTCTCCTTCTATTACAAGAATCTGATTTTTTTCAAATTCAAAATATTCGTTAATATATACGAACTTATTATAAAAATAAAAATAAAACTTTTTGCGTTTTCTTTTCTTTTTTAAAAAAACTTCAAATCATGTAAAAATCCCTCATATAAAAATGCATACCATTGCGACCACCACACATCAGGAGCATTACAATTGAGATTGCATAACAGAAATTTGTACTTTCTTACAATCAATTCGACATCAATGTTACATTCAATAGTAGCCACATATTACAGTAGGTCGAATATAGGCATTGTCTGGCTCAGATGTCTGACCTGGTGATCCCTAATTGCATCAAGCAGTTGCTCTCGGTAAGCAAATATGGGCAAACATTTCCGGTCCTCCTGTTATCAATGTCATTCTATGAATATTAACATATAATTCCACATCAACCCCCGCCAACAGCAACAATCCTAAACCTACAATAATCCTTGTGCATTTTCTACAGCTGTAATGAAACAAGTGAATAGGTGTATATACATTTCCAAGTATAGTATATGAAAGATTTAACACGCAAGTTGAAAAATGGTTCTGGAACTGACCAGAATCTTCTGATGAGCAGTTATTGCAGCTGACATTCTAGCTTTCTTCTCGAATTCTGCATCCTCGTCAACCTGCCATAAGACAGAAGCTGGTTTCAAGGTAATGTATAGCTATGTAATGCACAGTGAGACAGGACGAGACCTTTCAAAAGATGTAAATCATGGACTCAAACGTCTTCATTTATCTTGACATCATTGGAAGTACAAAACTAGCGTAACCGTCAAAAAAAATGATGAATAACAACTTTGAGTGACTAGCGTGGAATCTTTGATTAAGTTTGTGATGATTAACCAGCTTAATAAAGACTGAAAAATATCACAACTTACCAACTTCTAAAACTACCATAAAAGATGACCGGACCAAAACATCGCAAGAGATCAGCCACTTTCAACACGCCAAACTGCTTCTATCTTTAAAAGAAGACAATCTCGTACCTCATCTCCAGCAATAGTGGCGGCTTGAATAAAATCAATTTGATCTTCAAACACGTATCTATTCAAAACGCAACGTCCACGTGATGAGTATTTTTGTGACCATTGACTAGATCCATCACAAATAACTTTACAAGCCGTGAAAATTCTACATAAAACCATTCTCACTGCCTTCAAGAGCTCCTTAAACTGGATCTTACATGCGGAGTTTCTCTTCATAACCCTAAGGCCAGATAAAATATTGTGTACTAGCCCCAAAGTTATCTGTGGGATCTGCTCAAGAAAAATCTAGTGATCAAGTGCCTCTTCTCAAAAGGAACCAAGGTTGCACAACTCCATCAAACTCAAGGAAAGAGCAGAAAACACCAGGCAGAATTTTACTCACTCATAGTCATCATCCTTTTTCTTGTCAGCTGCTCCAAACTTCAAAGTAGCTTTACCTGCAACAAGAGGGCAACCAATCACTTTCCACACTGCTCCTTGAAGTACAGAACATTATTCTATCCAATTGTAACTGGGTGTGTTATTGAACCAAAAGAATGGGACTGTACCTATTTGATGTTTCTCCCAAGCTTCTTGTTCGGCCATATTATTTGCACGTTCTTCCCCCTCAACATCCCTGTAAAAAGAACAGAGATATAACCAAGCATGCGCAACAAGGGAATTGAATCAAAGAGGCGTTTGATCCCTCATTCATGATTGTTCGCGATGGACTCAACACTCTGATCATATAATACAGACATGGTCAAAGAAATCACCTGTAGCGTTCCAGAGCAACGGCGAATCGTTTGTCTTGCGTAACTCTATCTGCCTTATCATACGCTTCAGGCATGTGATACTGAGGTCCAAATTATATTGTTAGATTCAAAAACGTATCTATCACTCTTGCCATTCATATTCACTTAAACAAAATATGCTAAGAAGCAATACTGACCGATTAGAATGAATATTGACTTATAGGTGGTCAGAAAAAGAGGCTAATATTATGCATCTTCAAACGTTATCCAAGCATGGTCAACATCCAGTACCCCAACAATATTATCAACGTCTTGTGCACGCTGTTTTGCTAACTCGTAGACTTGCTTCTTGTACCTGGCGTAAGAGAATACGCAGCAAAGAGTTACAAAATCTATCACCAGGCTTGGATGCAAATATGAAAATATAAACAACACTTGCACGCAACGAACTTGGACAATCAGACTAGGAAGGAACAAGCCCAAACTTGCAAAACAGTGCCCATCGTAATGTACGTATCCAGAAATATAAATAAACAAATAAACAAATAAAAGTGTCCACTAACCTATACTCTGCCTGCTCTTTGGCTGTCAACTTCATGCCTCCGAACAAAAATTCTTCATCAATCAACTCATCCCTGTCCACATCAAGGGAAATATGTGAAGTCATTAAGTGTGTCCTTCCAATAAACATCTACAGAAATTACATTAGCTGCAGAAGCAATATTCATGGAACCCTACAGTTCCTACACTCTAAAACCGAAACAGATTTAACCTAAAAAGAAGTTATTGAGACACTTACTCCAATTCCTTCAGTTTCTTCTCTTCTCTTTTCTTTAGATACTCTTCTCTTGAAACTTCCCTGCAAAATACAAGAATGACAAAAGTCAGCTCCTTGTCAAGCAAGGTCAAATTTCCACCATTATTGAAACCAACCATGTAGCCACAAATGCATTTTGCATCAGGATGTGAAATTATACCTTAGACTAGGAAGAAGCTCCTTCCGCTCCTGAGCTTCACTTCTCCTTCTCGCTTCCTCTGCGCAAGGCGCAATTGATGGTGGCAAGTCCACGGCAAATTAGGAGAAGGACATTAACAGACGCTTGTTTCTCTCATTGATATGCAAGCAACTTATCGATGTACGTGAATAATTGAAAATGACACAGTATTATCCTAACCTTCTTGTTTCTTTGAAAGCTTGAATTCGCCCACCTGCTCACAAACAAAATCATTAATTATTGACTTTCATCTAAAATATAAGAGTATCAGAGAATCAAAATTTGAAACCAGAATTAACGTGATCCAATGCTATGGTGCTCGAAACCTTTGCCCACCTTCCTGGTCGAAGCAGCATCCTTCTCCCGTAGACGTTCTTCCAGCTCCTCTTTTTCCCGCTGATCCTGCTCTCTGGCTCTTTCCCTTTGCACCTGCACAATGAGAGCATTCAAATGATGGGCCGAATGTGAACCAAAAAAATCACTCAAACACTACTTCCCAATAGATATGCAAGGCATAATACACCAGAAACCTAAACAACCAGCCAATTCTCACACCTCTCCTTCAACTCAGCCATTGTCACACTTCTGCGCTCGAAGTCAAAACGTAATTGCGCAAAATCCCAAAATCCGAAGAGCAACCTCATTGAATAATCCCGGATAGCTTAAAGCTCTATTAGCAGAAGCTACTAGATTAACGAATGAAGGGACAATAATCGTATACCCTCCAAGTATTCACCAAAAAGAAACCATCGCTAACTTATAAATCTTATGCATCGAAATCGCCAGTTCCAACCAAATGATTACGTCTTACGCGTTGCGAATCAGTTTGAAGAAAAAGCACTCCATAGTTCTCACGACACAATGTAGAAGACAACAACCGTACCTCTTCATCGTCATCCGAATCTGGTGCGGCACGTGTTCCCCTTCTCTTTGTAAACACAACTTCCTAGAAATAATACACACGTTAACTGATGACTCATGAAGAGGTCCGATCAAATAATTACCAAGAAGCTCAGGATTCAATTTATAAAGTTATGTATCATAATTATGCATACTTCAAAAACTTCAACAAACCTCATCCTCGTCCACATCCTCATCGCGTTTCCTACGAAGGTGTTTTTTACGTTTCCGCTCCTCCTTCTGCGTTACTTCTGCCGGTGCTCTCGCTGTCTCTTCCTCTTCGTCGTCGTCGGCATCCAAAAGTTGATACTGCTGCTGTTTTCTTACAAAGAGAGCAGACTCTTTTTCTGCCTTCTGATATGCCTGCTCCAGATCACATAAACATTAGATATCCTAAGAAAGTACGTGTAAGAAAACGCAATAACAATCAAGCGAACCCTACACCCTAAACCCTAAACCCTGAACCACAATTGTGTTTGACGACGCTTAACTTCGACAATATTTAATGAGTGACAAGTTAAATGGAACAAATGACATTATAATAAGATTAGCCTTGACCAGACCGCTCGAGATATCACTACATATCCTCAAAATTTGCTGTAACTGCAAATGTTGCAATGGTATGGTTGAAAAACATCACTGATTGGAGCCTTGTACAGTTAATACGACCCATGTTATTTAAAATCATAAACCTTAAACCCGGCACCCTGACTACGAGTGCGGAGCCACTCGGTCGGGATGAAGACTGCGCCAGAGGTAATGCAGTAAATAACTTACAGTCAAGCCAGAATTCTTCCGAGGTAAGCGACTCTGCAGCTCCTGAACAAATCTCTCTGTATCTTGAGAAGCCGGAAAATCGAAACTCTGCAATTCCGAAATTAAATCTCTAGAAGTCTTTGCCTTTTTAGCTGCAAGACAGAAATACAAGAAAAGATGGATTAATCCTACTGAACTCACATGAACACGCATGAGCACGACTCGTTGCGGTGGCACTGCCAGAATGCGACATCGCTAGAACTTACAGCTATTGTGCCTGCTGATTGTGCTAGTTGTACTCTAGCAACTGATCCTTCCGCTAGGAATTAAGCCGAGTAGTTTATGCAAAATATTTGATTAAACAAATATTAAGTATGGCAGTCGCAAAAGCAATCAAAGGAATGTCCTCTGTGCTCAAATTTTTAATCACTTGACCTCGACACTTGCACATCAATATCAAACCAGTAGACAATGCAAATAAGGCGGTGAATTGTAATTTCTTGTACCAATTCCAATGACGAACGAGACAGTTGTAGGGGTGTTGTATCCAAGCAAATTCATCAACTGGTCACCCACCCAGAGGCGAGTCGCCTTTTCGTCCGCCATTTTGACAGCTCAAAACTTGCCCGCTCTGCCCAACCCCTCCATGCCTACATAGAGCCCTTCTAGTCTCTCGCAGGAAGCCTCCGCTTCACCACCTAACTTGTGTTCAAAACGACGTCACAGTCAATTCCAATTTCCTTGAGCCGATAAGGGCACAATGTCGGAAGAAACATCGTAATCACCACGTTCCGGAGCGACATCACAGCCCCATGTGACAATCTGGCTCAGCAATCAGTAACAAGTATTGCTAATAATATAAAACTAAAACCCTAGCTTGTGCATCACGCGTCACGACACCGCCAACACTAAAAAAAATTAAATAAACAAACAATTCAGCTGACCACTCTCTCCAAATAAACAAAAACTGAAAAAAAACAAACAAACAAGCAAACAAGCAAACTAAAACTAAAACAAAAGTGATCTCAACACAGTAATCTACTCTAGCATAACAATAACGCCATCGCAAATGTTCCTGGTTCGAGAGCCCGAGTCCTACAGCATGATCAGCTCCGCTTCGCACCCCTACCTCAATTCCCCACACCAAGACCTCCACTACGATTTGCCAGAAACCACGTGATTACATCATCAACACTAACAACACACGCTGATTAAGAGAAAAACCCACCAACCTCAAAAACCTCTTCCTCGAATCCCTTCAAACTTTGTGCACCGAAACTACAATTTCCAGTGAAGCAAGGAATGAGACTAAACTAATTTTAATCCCTGCAAAGTGGCGACAAATCGCCTCCGAAATTGGTCACAATCAGGGTCCCGGTTGGACACACCGCGCACTCAAAATTCCACGCAACCCTCCATTGGAAGAGATGCAACGGAATCGTGATGTCGTCGAATCCATGACCTAGCCCTCGACCCCCGCAACGGAGCTATTCATTGCTCGTGCTCTGTTTTGGATGGAGATGGTGATGCCGACCGACACAACATGATCACACAACACGGACGACCAACCCTTACTTCTGCAATTCCAGCTTTCACAAAAACCGAACCCTTATTCGACTTGCGATAATTCTTCCAACATTGTACACTACTGACCCAAAACCCTAATTCCCAGCTTTGTGATTTGTGAAAACCGTCTAAGCTAATTCCAATTCTGCCATACTTTCAATAAGGATATCTTACAAAGTGTACACATTCAAATATTTTATGGATGGTAGCATTGGTTCATTATGTAACAATAAAAGTTGCAATAAGATTGTTGCATTAATGTTTCATATATGTTGTGCATGAATTAATTATGCAATATGATAGTAATATGCACAAGTCAACCACATTTTACTTTTTAATTTCAAATAATTTCTAAAAATGATATTTGAATTATTCATTACTTTAGATAATTTTTTATATGCTAATTGTACATATACACTTTTAGATTTGACATTAGAAAACATATTAAATAGTAAGCTAATTCATGACATGATATTTTATTTCAAAATTTAATTGTAAAAAATATCCTAAATAAAAAACTTCCAATACGAAAGAAAAACAAAAAAAACATACAACACAAAAAATAATTCTGTTTTAATTTTTTTAAATCTTATTTTGAATAAAATTGAGTTGTTAAATCTCTATAGTACAAAAAAACCAAATTTTTATATTAGTTTATACATTTTAAACTTAAATTGTAATGATAAAAAAATAATAATCTTTTTTTAAGTGTTTTTACTTAATTATATCTGAATTCTTATTACTACTGCATTACATTTAGTTACAACCAAACAAAAGATTATAAATTCAAGCATAAAATTTGATATATTTATGTATTCTATAATTTTTAAATGTTTGTATATTTTTCATATATCTTTAGAAATTTGTAAAACCTTTTAAAACCATAAGCTTGTAGATATTGACATGGGATATTTTTTATATTTTTATAATATTTAAAAAAATTAATAACCACTTTCAGAAGCTTCTACAAAATTTGATTGCAATAGTATAAATAAAGAAACAAGACAAAAAGACCTCATTAGACTTTGTATTTTGTCTTCAATAAATATTTATTACATCATTGTGTCAAGGACAAGAACTCGATGAAAAACAATTCAGACAAGCGAGCCTTCACTCAAAGAGAGGTAACAAAATATATATAAACAAGTATATATATTGAAATAGAAACTAGAATGGCTATTGCCAAAAGACAAGAAAACTAGAGACCCTTGAAACTAGACTAGAAGCAAGAAAGGAGTTGACAAGAGTGAAGAAGCCTTCACTCTTGTCTCTATATATACTATCTAACTAGGGGCTACGTGGCGACGTTCTATAGGACCTCCAATATGTGTTGACTTTGTAGGACACATGCCTTGACTTACAAGGCAAGTTTTTCTACATGTGGGCCACATAGTTAGCTTGATCTTCAAGCTAACAACATGTGTGGCACATGGCCAACTTGTTGACAACGTTTCTAATCCAAAAAGTCAATTAAAGACACCTATGAAGTCAAAGCAACGTCTAGGAAGTTTCTAGGAAGCTTCTATATTAAATATTATAGAATTAACTTACTTTTATCTACTTTTACTTACTTTTACCTATTTCTATATGTAATTATTAGCTTACATGATTATGGCTGTGACATTACCCCCCCTTCTAGAGACGAGTTCCACGAGGAGCGGTCATCATATGTTGAGGAAATCTATGATGCGACGAATTGTATTTGCCACATACTCTGATCTCTGTTCTCTTCGAAGATGATTGATAGGGCCTCTCAACCATCGGTAGTGTCCCATACTAGGGCGGAAAGACCACCCAGTTATTTGATCATTGTTGAGGCCGTCATAACTTCTTTCGAATAGAATATTTGGAACACCATCAGGAGTTGTTCCTACCTCTAGCAAAATCACCAAATATCGAGAGTCCCTTCCAAAATCGTGATACCAAACGCGTTGTATCTCACCATCTATTCGAGGAAGAACATGTCGTTCTTGAAGATCTTCATCTCGATTGCGTCGTCTTGAAGGTTGTGACAATCGTAAAATCTCGTTCGGCAGGTCAGCAAACGAAGGTTCTTGAGTTGAATCCACTGGTTGTTGGCTCTCCATCTAATTAGCGTCACAAATGCAAAGAAGTTACAAACAAGGATAGGAAATTGAATGTTATCTTGCCTCAATCTTATCTCTTTTATAAGAGAGATTTTCATCTTGATTTTGATGGATGTCGTTGATGAAAAACTTTGACTTTAGCTGATGCATTTGCTAGATTCCTGGATGGCTCCCATGTGCGTTCACTAATATCATATCCGCGCCAATGAACAAGATATTCCAGCTTATTTCGGCGCCGCCTTGAGTCTAATATCTCTTCCACCTCAAATTCTTCATTATTATCTACTTCTATAGGAGGCGGTGGCATTTGTCTTCTTCCTTGTATATCCACTGTCTTATATTGTTCAAGAAGAGAGACGTGGAATACAGGATGGATCTTCATTGACTCCGATAGATGTAACCGATATGCAACTGGGTTGATCTGTTCAGAAACAGAAAAGGGGCCAAGCCTACGATAGTCCAACTTGTCACAAGGTCGAGTAGTCTTGATATTGCGACGAAGTAGCCATACCTTATCACCCACGTTGATTTGTGGTTGCTCCTTACGATATAGATCTGCGTTTATTTTTTGTCGTTCTTGAGCTTCCTTCAATTGCGTCTTCATTATTGCATGTAACTCTGACAACCGATTTGCCATATCTTTTGCTGCAGGATTATCAACTTTTGAAAAATAAAAAGTATCAAGTCGTGGATGATAGCCATAATTGGCAAAGAAAGGTGTTTGTTGCGTGGAAGAATGTACCGTATTATTATAAGCAAACTCTGCCAATGGCAGAAAGGTTGTCCAATCATCTTGTTGATAATTGATAGTACACCTTAAATATTGCTCCAAGACTTGGTTTACGCGCTCTGTTTGTCCATCAGTTTGAGGATGGAAAGCCAAAGATAGCTTTATGTCCACTTTTAAAATCTTGAAAAGGGTCCTCCAAAATCTTGACACAAATTGAGTTCCCCTATCTGATATGATATCTTTAGGTAATCCATGATAGCGATAGATATTATCAATGAAAAGCTTAGCTGTTTCTTCACCTGTGATAGATTTTGTACATGGCACAAAATGTGCCATCTTGGTGAAACGATCTACTATCACAAATATAGAATCATAAGATCTTGAGCTTGGAAGATCTGTGATGAAATCCATAGAAACAGAAGACCATGGTTGTTCTGGGATAAGTAATGGCTGAAGAAGTCCATAAGGTCGATGACGAGGAATTTTTGATCTTGAACAAATATCACATGATTGTACAAAGTCTTTGACTGACTTCCACATTTGTGGCCACCAAAAATCTCTTGATATGAGTTCCAAAGTCTTATTATATCCAAAGTGTCCTGTTGTTGGAAAGTCATGACGTGCTTGAAGAACACGTAAACGTGCTTCTCTTTTTAGAACATATAGGCGTCTTTCAAAATATAATAGATTATTCTTGAACTCGAACTTAGAAGGATCATGAGACTTGGAAGAATTATTCTCGATATCATAAATAAGAGGGTCTGAGGACATACTGGACTGGATTTGCTTGAAAAAAGTTGAATCAACCGTCAATGTTGATTTCATTGCTCGGAGATGAAATTGCTCCGGTTTCAAGAGGACCGTTCTTTGTTGCTCAAAAGCTGCATCTCCTTCTTTTGGTACAAAATAAGAACGTCTAGATAGGGCATCAGACAAACCTTGTTGTTTTCCTGGCCGATAAGTGATAATGAAGTCGAATCTTGACAAAGACATACTCCAACGAGCTTGACGCCGATTCAACACGCGTGCTGACATGAAATACTCGAGGTTCTTGTGATCTGTATACACAGTGACTGGACTAGAAGCGCCTTCTAGATAATGACGCCATTCTTGAAAGGAATCCACGATCGCAAGAAGTTCTGTATCGTGGATCTCATAATTGATCTCGGCTGCTGAGAATTTTCTTGAATGAAAAGCTATTGGATGAAGTTTGTCATCTGATCCCATTTGTGATAAAACTGCACCTAAGGCAAAATCTGATGCATCTGTTTCCATAAAAAATACCTTGGAAAAGTCAACACGATATAAGACTGGTGCAGAGACAAACGATGTCTTCAAGGCTTCAAATGCTGCTTCCGCTTCTTGATTCCATTGGAATTTATCTTTACTAGTCAAGCGTGTAAGTGGAGCTGTAACTCGTGAGAAATCTTTGATGAAGATCCGATAGTAATTGGCAAATCCCAAGAAACATTGGACATCTCTTACTGTCCTTGGAATCTTCCAATCCATGATTGTTTGGACTTTCTTAGAATCCATCATGAGACCATCATTTGAAATGATGTATCCTAAAAAGTCAACTTGAGTAGTGTAAAATACACACTTTTCCATCTTGGCATACAATCCTGCATCTCTAAGTTTTTGTAATACTTGACGAACATGTATTTCATGTTCTTCGACGTTCTTAGAATAAATCAGGATATCGTCTAGATATCAGACAACAAAATTGTCTAAGAATTCACGAAATACATCATTCATGAGATGTTGAAAAGCAGCTGGTGCATTTGTGAGTCCAAAGGGCATGACATTATATTCGAAATGTCCATACCTGGTTCGAAACGCAGTCTTCTATTCATCTCCTTCTTTGATCCGTACTAGATTATATGCTCCTCTTAGATCTATTTTTGTATAGATCTTAGCTTGATTCAACTGGTCAAGGAGTCCTGATATCAAAGGTAATGGATACATGTTCTTGATTGTGATCTTGTTGAGTCCTCGATAATCAACACACATTCGTAAAGATCCATCTTTTTTCTTTACGAATAGAATTGGAGCTCTTGCTGGAGATTTTGAATGGCGTATGAAATTCTTCGCTAAATTCTCGTCAATATATGTCTTGAGTTCAGCCATCTCATCTTGCGATAAACTGTAAATTGGTCCAAATGGTGGCTGAGTTCCTTCCTTGAGGTCGATTGAACAATCATATGGGCGATGCTCAGGAAGAATATCTACATTCTTTTTCT